GATCAGTGAAAGAGAGATGAGTTATTGTTTTATTTATAGATATGTATAAATAATTTATTCACAATGTACTCCATTTCTGATGTCTGAAAGGTGTGAACGTCTTTTACTCATTGCCTAATATTTGCCAAGGGATAAGTGCACAACTAACTTAAAGTAACATTTAAATTATAAATTTGGGCTGTTTTGTGATTGGATAGAGAGGTGCCCTATGGTATATTGTTTTCTCTTGTATACTTCAGAAGCAGGTTTCTAGTCTATATGTTATTGTGAATTGGTTTAAAATTCATTTTCCATTAATATATAAAGTTCCTTTAGTTGGTCCATGTCCCTAATTGTCAGGAGTGTTTGGGGTTTCTTCTAGCTCTCTATTTTTTTTTTTCTTTTGTAGTATTCAAAAGAGGATGGTCTGCGTGTGCTTTCCTTGTGGCTCATGTGTTTTTCTTTGTGTATTGCATGTAAAAGTGGAAGGACTTTTTTTTTTTTTCTTTTATCCCCTTCTGGTTCAGATGTGGCTGAAGGGTAAAAGTTTCAAAAGCTTCATTGCTGGTTGTCATCCTAAACATAATTAGAGCTAACAGGCTGTAGGAATTGAGTCTGAGACTTTGAAAAGATATTCTAACTTTTCAAATAAGTGGCAGATTCTGTAGGGCTTTCTCATGTATTTCAGTAGGAAAAGTATGAAGCAGAGCTGCTACTAATTGAATCCAAAATTTTAGAGCAGCAAGAATTGGGTCCCATTGGGAAGTGCCTTGCCTTGGTGAAGACAGCAACTCACAGTTGCAGGATGCTTTCCCTCCCTGCAGAAATTTCTATAAGACCAGCTGATACTGCAGCAACTTTTGGCCTTTAAAGTCTCATCTAAATATAAACAAATCCAAATGCTGCTGCTCTGGATACTGCCTGGAATGAGTAAACATTCTTGTTTTTAGGAAATCATTCACTGTCCTAGAAATTATCACCTTTTTCCATGTCTAATTTTGTGGCTTTTTAAAGTTCACTGTGGTGAAGAGAAACCCAAACTGAAGCCACCGTCCTTTTGGTAAGGTTTCATGTGTCACCAGATGAAACCATGTTTCCTAACTGCTCTGTGGTCTGCTTTTGAAAACAAAAAGCTCTGTCTTTGTTTACAGGCTGCCAGTGCTTTATGCTTAGTCAACAGTTTCCAGGCCTGAATATGAAATCTTAATATTACTTTCCATGCTCAACCCTGAAGCCAGTTAAGCTTTCATACCTTTGATCTTGGCTTCCTAATTCTCCCAGAAGTTGGGGTAAAAAAGGTCACTGAAATCAGGGGTTTGTTTCTTTGCTGTGTTTGGTGTCTGAGCTTCCTGTTTTCCCATTGTACCAGATGTATTCATGTATTTTGTCTTGTTTTTCATTCTGTTCATTGCTGTATAGTGGTGACTGTGGGGTCCTTATGCCCTTGAACTCTGCAGATTAACTCTCTGCCTCACTGCCATGGGAGAAGGCAGCCTGCAGAACAAAAGTAGTTCACTGAGCTAGTGAAGTTTGATGCAGAAAAACATTGTAAATGAACTAAAAAAACCCCAAATTGGCCAGGCAGACTCATTTTTTCTTCTAGATTTCTAGCAATCTTTTGTTTCAGCTGTCTGCCTCATGGCGAATTTCGGTTTTCCACCCAGTGCTTAGCAGTGCAGCATGGCTCGTTTAACCAGACATATGCATTTTTCCTAAAAATGCTACGATAAATAGATGTGTCAGAATTTAAAGTGCTACTGGAAATTTTACAAGTACAAGTGCACGTGTCTGAGCATTTGACACAGTTCAGAGATGTTATACGAGTATGGATACGTATGAAAGGGCTGGCATGGCTTTGAGGACTTGCTGATGTTGTATTAAAGTTTTAAAATCACGCTGCTAAACGCAAATGCTATAGAAGACTATAGAAAAGGAGCCTTTTATGAAAGTATGACAAATTAAGTGGCTTAGCAAACATTTCCATGTACCTGCATGCTTGTTTGTGAGTCTCATGGTACTGAAAGAGTCTCTCGCGTTGGCTGAAGATCATTGGCCTCATATGGGACCTTGTGGTGGCTTCGCTGGCCGGTGCACAGGAGGCAGGGTGTGAGGGCTCACTGTGGAGAATGGGCTTTGCAATAAAGCACTTCCTCGGTCCTACCAGGTTGCTTTTACACCCATTATTTAGTGCAGCGAATGTAGCTCAAGCTTAAAAGGCAATATTGAGCTGCAGATGTGTGAAGGCGCAGAAATGAAGGAATGAGTAGAGGAGTGTGAGACCAGGCAGATCAAAGTGAGGCTGATTTTCATGCACAGGAAAAGCTCTCTGTCTGCACCATCTGTGTGCTCCCTACCACTACTCCGTGCCTGTATTGAGGTGTTTAAAATTCTAGACGTTCAGGTTATGGAATATTTTCTGCTTCTGTCTTTGCATGAAGGAGCAGCTAAGAACTGGAGAGATGACTTTCCATGAACAGAAGGGCATCATTTCAATAAGCAATGTAGTGCTTTATTTCCCTTGTAAAAGTTAAAAAAAATGTAAATAATAAATTCTTTGCAGAAAGATTTTTCTATGCTCCTAATTAAAACAGTCAAGAAATCAAGAGGTGAGACAGCAGATTTTTGGGGTTGGTTTGTTTGGTTTTTAATTACAGCACTTGCCAGTCTTCAAGGAATAAAAACCACTTGAATATTTTTTCTTAAATATAAATTGCAAATTCATTTTTTTTTCCAGCAGAGCTAGAATTCTTGTCTGAACACTAAAGGAGTTAATGTTCTTTCAGATGCTGAACTATTTAAACAGTATAATAACTATGGCTAGACCTTGTATAGCTTGTATCTCTTTTATGTACTCCTTTGCTAAAAGTGTTTCACTGCTAAATTTCTCTGAAACATGGAAGTAGCACATAGTGTAAGTACTTTTTTAACACCCTCTAACCAAAGCCGCTTTGTGATTCCTTTGTACCTACACTCTTGGAAATGGGATGTTGGCTCCTACACTAGAAGGTACTTCCAGACTTTTATTTTTAATTCTTTGGCATTTTCTAGATTCTGACTTCAGTACCATTCAGCATGGAACAGACAAAGTAAAATGTTTATTGATGGTTTCAAATGGTTTAGCATTCTCAGTCTTCCTGTAATAAAGCTTCTGAAGACTTTTTGAAATCTAGCCTCTTCCTATAGGGACAGCAATGAGATCTGATTATCAAATGATAATTCCAGCTGTGCTTCAGATAAGTTTTGAAAGTCTGCTCTGTAAATTTCATGAAAGACCTAAATCTTGGATTTCTTCAGTTGTTTTTCTATTGATGTCTTTGTGTGTTAAACTTGTATCGTTTTGGAATTGGACAGTCGTTGACAGGCTCCAAAAATCTCTTTCTAGAGCATGTGGGACAAGAAAGTTTCTTGTTATTTAGGATTCACTTTCCTATATCACTGGTGAACAGTTTTGGAGGTGAAAGATGGTATCCCTCTTCTGATTGCCTTCCCGCTCTGGTAATCCCTTGCTAACTTGTCTAATATCTCTCTCCAGCCCTTTACTGTACATGTCCTTCCGTCTGCTGGCAAAGACTGAAAGAGACAAGAATAGCTGCTTGGAGGAATCGTTTTTATTACTGAGGTTTTTCATCCTGCTGAGCAGCTTAGAGGGTGAAAGTAATTTATATTCATGAGCATTGATGCTGATCCTTGCTTTCCATGAAGTGACTGGTTGCTGTTTCACCTAGCTAAAATTTGCCACTTAAGCTATTTCTAGAGCTGAGTTTCAGCCCTGCACATTTTCAGCATGCTTTGGAAGTACGAAAGATACAGATTAGAGGTGCATGAAGCATTATTATTTCATGTTTGGATTATAAACTTCTTTGTGGACACTAAGCCTAATAAAACTTACTTGAGGTTGGTATATTCAGTGAACGTCAGTAGCCACACTGAATTATTAAATATCCTTCTGACCAACATGTTTAAATGCTTGTGTTTCCTAGGATTGTCAAGGAGGGTGTTTTCTAGTGCAAGCTTGTCTAAATTTTGTTTATTAGCATCCATTTCACAATCTCTTTTATATTAAAACCCCAAAAGTCTCTTAGCCATCATGACTGCAGAGAAGAGGCAGAAGTATGGGATCTAATCAGAAAGTGAATTTAAAGAATCTGCAAATTTATATGAAGCAAATTAAAAACTGTAAAATTTTTAAATGAGGCTCATTGTGTTCGGTGGCTCTAGTTAATGGATTTTGCATGTCTGTGATTGGCAATACTTTCTTCCTCTCAGAATCAAGGACATAGCAGGACTTAAACATTGTGTGTCCTCCCACAGAACTATGTTATTTTTGTGAAAGTAATTTAATTTTTCAAATAATAAATTGGAGGAAAGCACTATTGCTGACTTCACATAGTCAAGGCTGCTTTTCCTGTGACTGTTTGGAAACTATTATCTTTGGCACCTGGAAAACTTAACTCAGTTCCTATTCTTTTTTTAAAGGTTCTTTATGTTAATTCCTGTTTTGCAGATGATCAAGTGATTTTTATAGTTATGGTAGTCAGCATATGGGGACTGTTATGTGCATTGTAGAATGGTTGGTGGGCCCATTTGACCAACATTTTAATTCCAGACTTCTGCGTTCTGCAGTAGCCTCAGATAAAATGCCTTGTCCTGTTGTTAATGGCAGGGGGCCCGGGGGGCTGTTTTGCTCTTTTTTTTTCTTTCCCCTCTGAAGCTCTTCTTCCTGGGACACCACTTGCATCTATCTGGGGTGGAGATCATGGTGGGAGTGTGGGACTGTTGTCATCTGATGGCAGATCTGTTGTTTACATAAAACAGGTAAGACTTGACTTTTGGGGCCTGAAGAAACATAAATACCAGCAAAGGTTGTTGTTGCAGAGCTGCTAGTTGCTTTAGAATTGATGCAATAAAGAGACATTTGAATGAGGAAAATAGAAGGCACTAAAATTGCCATGCTGCAAGACCTGAATTAAAAACTACAGAGCAAAAGTATCTGTTATTTCTTTGTAACTTGGAAATACATAAATGTGGTAAGTCTTGCTCCCTTTTATATTCCTGATTACGGCCTTGAATGGAGTGTATGCATTTTGGTGGTTTTTAGACATTTGTCTCCTTTTTTTGTACTTCCAGGTTCTAATTGACTGGATTAACGATGTGCTGGTAGAAGAGAGAATCATTGTCAAACAGCTTGAAGAGGACCTTTATGATGGGCAGGTGCTGCAAAAGCTGCTCGGTGAGTTCATACAAAAGAAGGTGGCCCCAAAGACTGGAAGGGGCCCAAAGTTAATCTCTTCCAAAGCTGCAGACAGCAGCAGGTCTGTGCAGTAACACACTATCTCACCAGGGATATACAGTTTGTTTCACTGATAGCTATGGTGTTAGCTTCTCCATCTGTTCTTCTCAGGCTCACTACTGGAAGGGGAGAAATTCCAGATGACTCCTAGATACCTGTTTCATGGACTTAATCCAGATAGCCTAAGTATGTGGCAGAAAAAAGGGTGAAGAGGCTTGTGTTTACAGCAGTGGAACCAAGCAGAAGCCATGTGGTCCAAAATTTTGTCCGTGTAGTTTGCTTCTGAAAGGTGTTGGGCTGAAGTCCTGATAGAATTACTTTTAGGGGAAAAAAATGAGCAAAAGAGAATGCATGGCAGCAAGCAAGCACTTACTTATGTGCACTTATGTGTGAATGATCCATGAAAGGGTATACTCCATTAAGCACTTGTGATTTTGCAACCCTCTTACATCTGCGCAATGTGTGATTCATGCAAGAAGCATAAAGGTGAAAACCTTATGATGATGCAGTGATTTATGGGGGTGCTTTTAGCATACAATGAGTCTTGGAGCATCAAGTGCCATTGTAAATCCATACTGTTTCTCGGAGACAGATAATCACATTGCTCTCAGTTTACTAATGACATGTTTTCAAGAGTGAGCTGGGATGTGGGATGTATGTGTCAGTGTAGGGCAAGGGGACCTAGTGATAATTCCACTGGTGCTAAGAGATGCTGCTTACTGAATTTTCTGCATATGTCCCTTAAATAATGGGTCTGTAGCATTTTGGTGAAGAGTCACAAGCTTTGAAAATTGGTTAACAACAGTTAAGTTTGTGTGCAAGTAAACCTCCTCAAAATTAACTTGAGGAGTAAAACGAGTACTTCTAACGCTGCTTGGTTAGACTGCAGCTGGGATCTTCCAGACGTGGTGGGGAGCAGGGGTGTAGAAATAATTTTAGTTGGGGACTATTTGTGTGAATGCAGTTGTACTTCATCAGGTGGAGTGAATTTTACTCTAGTCATTTGTCGTAGTTATCACTTTTCTTACGCTCCCTGTGGAGGCCATGGTTCCACCCTCAGGCCTGCAGACATTCATCCGTTCCATCCATCCATCGTGTTGCTCAGTTGAACATAGCATACCTTACAGGAGCCGGTCCAGAGGAGAGCAACGAGGCTGGAGAAGGAACTAGAGGGAAAGTCCTGTGAGGAGAGGCTGAGGGGGCTGGGGGGGGTTTGCCTGGAGAAGAGGAGGCTCAGGGGGGACCTTATCACTCTCTACAACTGCCTGAAGGGAGGGTGCAGTCAGGTGGGGGTCAGGCTCTTCTCCTGGGCAACCAGTGACAGGACGAGAGGGCACGGCCTGGAACTGCGTCAGGGCAGGTTTAGGTTGGATCTCAGGCAGCACTTCCTCACGGAGAGGGTGCTCAGGCACAGGGATTCACTGCCCAGGGAAGTGGTGGAGTCACCGTCCCTGGAGGTGTTTAGGGAGAGGCTGGATGTGGCCCTTTGTGCCATGGTCTGGCCCATGTGGTGGTGTTGGGTCACAGGCTGGGTGTGATGATCTCAGAGGTCTTTTCCAGCCTCAGCAGTTCTGTGATTCTGTTAAAGTTGGGCATGTACATCTTGCAGCCCGGGAGTTTAACTGGACTGAATTTTCCTCATTTTCTTCCTTTTGGGTCTCTGACTAGAGAGCAAGTGCTTGTCCCCCAATGTGAAGCTTTCACAGCTAAGCCCCAGTCTTCTGTTTTTCTTCAGTGGTGTCTTGGTTTCTTCAGCAAGACTTATATTACTGAATCTACCCATCTTTGTGCAGTCTTATCTGATGCAGGAGGCAAAGTGTGTTGTGCTTGTGATGGTGCTCCTGAGAGGCCTTACGGAATTGAGTCAGTGCTCTGTTGTGCAGGTCTTCTTTTCTGGTGCCTGCAGGAAAGGTTAACAAAGTAGCACCATTAAACTTCAAGTAGTAGTTATCATTCCTTCTGTGAGAGGTGTTTCAAGAAGATCTGTCTTGACAGGCAGGCACACAAACAAGATGAAAGACAACAGCTTGTCAGTGGGTTTATTTTGAAGCAGTTTGGAGTAAGAGGTTAGCAAATGGCTGTCTGACTACTTTGTGGTGGAGCTCCTTGTTTAGTTAGTTTTATCAAGGTACAAGTAGTGCCACTCAGGGAGTCTGGAGAGGCTTGGTACACATGGTGTCAGGTGAAAGGAAATAAATTTCTGCTTGCTGACTGGTAGATAACCTATCCTGAGAATAGATAGGAGCCATAACACGTGACCAAAAAATAATAATGTTGTGTAATTTTAAAAAAAAATTCTAAAATAATTTTAAATAACATTTGCGTGTTTTGTTAGTCAGTTTAAAAAAGACTCAGACATCTTGGCTAAAGAATGTTTTTCCCATTAGTATTAGTCTGATATTGAAAAAATTTCCTACTATAGATTGATAGAAACAGTCAAAAGTTTTCAAAGTATTTGTGAGCTGATAGTCTGCAAGTCTCTTCTATGTGGGTTATTAAAGTATTTCTGTATTTCTGTCACTTTTTAAAAATTATATATATATATCTTCAACTAGGTAAGATGTCTGGAAGAAACATATTCTTGAACTTGAGAGCAGAAATATTTCCATTATTGGAATAATGGGTTTTGACAACTCTGAAATATTTCTGAAAGAATCTTTAGATGTGAAGCCTGTCTGATTTTGTGAAAACACATCTGGTGAAATATGGTTTTTTGTTTCAAAGACTGGAGTAATAATATGTGATTGAAATACATTCAACCAGTCCTAATCTCCTAGTCCCAGCAGCAGAGTAAGTTTGACCATTTTTCTCTCCAGGGAGAAGGGAGAAAAGAGATCAGCTGTTCCAATTGCTCCAGTGGCTGGAGGACTCCACTGCAGCTTTCTCAGCTCTTGTTCTTTCTTTTTCTTGTTTTGAGCAATTCAGCTCCTGTGACTTTGGCAAGGGCTGCAATGCAGAGGAAGAAAAGAGTGACTTACCTGACTTTAGCAGCAAATAATTATATTATAGAAATAGAATTCAGATTTTAGTAATGGCATTTTACAAAATTTCATGGAATAGTTAATTTTTGGAGGTAAACAGCCATAATAGGACAATGTCATAACAGCACGAAAAGGTTGTAACAACTTCTTTCTTTAAATGAGTTCCACTAAGCCAATACAAATCTGTGGGTCATATGAGTCTATGACTCTTCATGGTTTGAGGATGTTTGTTTTAGCTTAAATTCATACCTTCAGCTAACCTGAAGTAAGGCTTATCAAGCTGAAGTAAACGTTCACACAATATTTCCCCTTTTTGTTCTATATTAACTTGTTATTAGAAAAGTCCATTAAACGTGAAGATTTCTTGTGTAGTGGAGGCTGTGTTGTGCCAAATGCTCTTCAGCAGTGAAAGAAAATGGGAGGTACAATAAATATTATTTTTAACCTGCTGCCTCTCTGAAAGTTGTTATGTATTTTGATGCCTGATTGATGGGTGTGTTCTGCCAGACCTTACCAGTTTTCTCTCACGGGGTTTGTTGGAATTGACACACTTTGATGAAAGAATTTCTTTGTTTTTCTCCTGGAAAATTTCTAGCAGAGTCCAGCTTTGCCCAGTGCTATGTGCTCGTTATTCCCACCCAGGCCCTTATTTAATCTGATTTTCCTGTTTTGTTGTTATTTTTTTTTCAAATACAGAAAAATTGGCTGACCGTAAACTGAATGTGGCAGAAGTGACGCAATCTGAAATTGGTCAGAAACAAAAGTTGCAGACAGTCCTGGAAGCTGTCCATGATTTACTCCGACCCCACGGCTGGACAATCAAGTGGAACGTAGACTGTAAGGACTCTCTTAAACTTTCTATCTCAGCTTCACAGGCAAGGAGGACATGATCATCAATAGGTTGATCGTATTCTCTGTGATGCAGTGGGTTATTTTTAGATTATATATTTGCATAGAGTGTTCTACCACATCCATGTATGGATTGTAACTGGTACCTTCTGTGATCTTTTGTTTAAGGACAGATGTACACAGCCATGGGATAACTGAAGTATTTTGTTCCTTTAAGGATGTGCTTTCAATAGAAGGCTTTTTTTTTTGATTTCTGAATTTGAGTCCCCACTAATATAAGAAATGTGTTAGTTAATCAAGTACCAGAAGATGGTCTAATCCTTCAGGCCACCACAATGGATCCTGCTGGAGAATGCATCTTTCTGACAGGCTAAGTAGAAAGTGCCCTCTATTTGAGCGTGGCCTGTTAAGATCTGAAAGTGAGAATGGAATTTGAGAAGTCCCTTAATCCAGGTAGTAGGTGTGGTTCATCTCTTAGAGCTGGGAAAGCTTGTCTTAACACTTTGGAAGTCTGCTAACAACGTATTTCTTCAATATTCTCCAATACAGTGGAAGGCAAGTGATTGAGTCCGCCTGTCTTCATTGACTAGAGAGGGAGCTGAAACCTTTGGACTCTTAAGTTAGGCATGTAGCTTAAAGGGATGGTTGAATCTAGGCTTTACTACCTGTAAAACTTATATTGTAGGCCTTATCAGTTTAGGAAAGAGAGGAAGAAGAATAAAAATCAAAAAGACTGTGTTCTCCAAAAGCATTTTTCACTGTCTTTTTCCCAGAGCTGTTTGTTTAAAATAAGGCCTGAGTAGTCTTTTATTTACTTCATTTTCCTTGTTCTTCGCAGCAATCCATGGCAAGAATCTGATTGCCATTCTTCACCTTCTGGTAGCTTTGGCAATGCATTTTCGGGCTCCCATTCGACTGCCAGAACATGTGTCTGTACAAGTGGTAGTTGTACGGGTGAGTATCAACCCCTGAGAGAAACTGGTCAGAGCTATCATTGTTCATCACTCTAATTTTGCAGTACAGGGTGGCTCCTATCCACTGCCCGCTCATCTCTTATCATTTAGAAAAGTCCCAATGGTTTAGTGAGTCCCAAGCTGGGGAATGCATTTTCAGTGTGATCCTGTGAACATCATATTTTTAATATGTTTGGCACCACCATTTGCTACTGTGATATCAAGCGAAAAACACATTGGAAAAGGAAGAATTGTGTGTGTAATTTCTGATGCTTTAATAAATGGGTTTTGCTATACTTTATTTTATTTTAGAGAATCCACTGAAATAAAAAGAGCACAGAAAAGCATTTCAGCACATAGAATCTCCCTAGTCTGGGAAGTCTGTTACTGATGTTGTTTTTTCCCAGTGACTTATTATGCAGACTTAGACATGTTGTTTTCCTTGGCATGCTAATAGACTTTCATCAGTTCTTTCACAGCCTTTTGTTTTCGTTAGCTTTCCATAGATATGGAGCCCTGACTCGAGGAACCCTGATTTCTTCCCTAGATAGTGCTCTAGTTATTCCTTTTTCTGCTTGGTGTTGATCATTTATTTTAACTCTGCAAAGACTCTGCTTTCAGTGCATATGTACTCTTGCTTTTTATCTCACCTCCTATCCCAGCTGAAGCTTGTGTAACAGTAAAGCCTGCGAACCCATCTTTTCTCACCAGCTGTTGAAACACCAGGCAGAGCTGTTCCAGCTGGCACTCTGATCCGAGACTGCTGTGGTGCTCAGTGCTGTCCTTGCAGGGCAGGCTCAGCTGCTACATGCCATTTGTCGTTAGAGCCATCAGGCTGTGGTAGGTTTCCTTTCAAGAACGAAGAAGATAAAGTGATCTCAGACTCTGTTTTGCAAATGTGGATCCCCTTACAAGATGCAGTTGTGTGGTTGTTGATTAGATGAGCCTCATTTTGCTTTACATTTAAATAATGACATTTTACAAGCTGCCTCTCTGAATGCCCTAGAGGTAAACAGTGTGATGTAAATGGTGAATACTCCCTGGCTCACAATAAATATATGTATTATCTTTAAGATGTACTTTTGAACTGCTTTCAGGCTGCTGTAGTTCTTTCATTTTGAGAAGAGTGAGTTAGTAGCATGAACATAAAGAGGAGACTAATTCTTTTGACTGTCCTGTAAAGGTGAGGAGGAAAATGTAAATACAAGGTGGTCAGTGGTCCTCTGATGTTAGAAATCTCCTTCTGCCCAGTACAGTGAAATATCTTCTGTAACTGATGTCAGGAAAAAAAACTTAGGTAAGGAGATAAAGGCTCGCTTTCCTTGTCCTTACTTAATTCAAGCCTCAGGACCCTTCACCTCTGTAGCAGAGGGAAGGCTGTGGAGGTGTTCCAATATCTTTTCTTCTTGGAGGGATATAGAGAAGACACCTATTGAGAGTGTCTGGTTCACCGGAGTCCCTTCGTCTTGAGACTACGCAAGGCTGAGGTGAAGGCAGTGTGAGATAAAAGCTGACAGATAAGAGAGAGAGAAATGCCTGTGTCCTTACGGAAGTATGCAAAGGTGTCAAAGCAATGGTACAAGGAGAGTTAATTTAAGCTCAAGAGGCTGTAATCGCTTGCTCTTGAACCTAGAGCCTGGAGTCCTGGAGATAGTTATGGCAGCTACTGGCTGTGAGCCTACCTCAGCTGGCCCCATGCAAGAGGAGGCTTGTTTCAGCACCCCTATCCCACTGCTAGGCAAAACTTGCAACTCGGCAGCTTTGTTTATTTAAATGAAAAGTAAGGCACAGTATAAACTGAGGCATGTTTCTTCTGGAACAATAACTTTTGCCTTATAGTTTAGTCAACTGAATTTTTGTAGTTCAGCATCCATAATCTGGTCTAAAAATACATGCTGGTTCAGTAACACAGATTTCTTTAAATGGATTTTATTTAGCCTTTGTTGTACTAATGACAAACAGAAGAATGGTAATAGTCTTAATATTGTTTCTGATCTAGGTAAGAAATAAGAAGATTATTATTATAATTATCCATTTCTTATTAATAATATTTTGCTACAGATCACAATAATGGTTAGGGTTCTGTCAATCTAGATCACTATTAACATAAGATGTCTGCTCTGAGAGGTTTTAGTTTAAATGCCTCTTCTTGCCTGAATATGCATTTAAGGGGATTAATCAATAGTTTAAGTGACTTCTTTGTAAGCTTTGCAGAACTGACCTCGCAACAAGAAAACCTTGTAAGATGTTGTGGCAGTATTGTCCAAGAATGCACCCACACTAAAATTTTCAAAACTAATTAAGCTTCACTTTTCTGGGTGACTTTGATTTCTATGATTCTGTTCTATGATTTCGACTTTGGCACTTAGGATTATGAACTTTGATGAGCCGTCCTCACACTGTGCAGATGCATGATGAGGTGCTTCTTGCCCAGAAGGGCTCTGCTTGCGTCATGAAAATGAGGGAGTCATACTGGTTTAGCAAGTTACTCCTTAGCCAAGTTGTGTTCATTTCCATAGCCCATCCCAGAGCAGTGCAGAATAACTTACTAGCTTATGAAAGTGTTGTGGGCTTTCTTCCTTAATTTTTAGTGCCCTGCTCCATAAAATGAGATATCATGATAGCACTGTGTTGCCTGGAAAGTGTTTCTCAAAATTTCCACAAATTGATGTGTATTCTACCCTTTCCTTAAATTCCGTGCTTTCCTTAAATTCTACCCTTTCTTTGACATCTTGAGGTAACAAATTGAGACTTTCCTAAGGTGCTGTATTTTTTTTCTAATTAAAATTAGTTAATTTAGAGCCTAAAAAAGAAACGTAGATAGATCTATATCTGTCAAACAGTAGACTATAATTTTTTTTGTCCTGAAAACTCACGAGTATTTTGGAGAGGATTTTCTGCTCTACCTTCATTGGCAGGGAAAACCTATCTATCAGTCTGTTAGTATTACCTAAAGTAACTGCAATACTAATCCAGCAGAAAAACCCTTTTGTTTATATTATTTTGTAAAGATATCCCCTCCCAAGAGTAGAATTCCTGAAACCTAGTTACTTTCAAACCTTTTTGAAATCAACCTTCACAGTTGGTTTTCTTGGTGATTTTTATGTGAAGTAGAAAATTTTGTAACCATGGCAATACATGCCCAAGTTATACGTGAAGCGTCGTCCTAGCTGTGCAAGGGTTTAGGTGGAGTAGCTGTTAACAGGATCTTAATTAGAAGACCCAAGTGCTGAATTACAGCCTAAGATGATACATATTTTAATACTGGTGTCACTCAACATGTGCCTGTCACTCCAGCCCTCCTCAGCGAGGGCAAGGAGGAGAGAAAGTTTGTGATTTCAGTGCGTGCTTCCAGTGAGAACTGAAAATCCTGTGTTTTTTCTTACAGCTGACTCTACTGCCTGATATTTGAAATGTAAATTTGCATGTTAAAGAAATACCTTTCTTCAGGAATAAGTGTAAAAATTGTCCTCAGGAATAAGTGTAAAAATTGTTCTTAAGACTCACAGTGTTGGTTATTTTTATAAGGCTCAGGAATCCCTGTCTTTTGTACTTTTTTTGGCTTTCCTTATTCTCATTTTTAAAATTGCAGCATGTCCCACCTTGGTGGTGCTGGGAGATCTGAGGTATTTTTACAGTCATTCCACTGTAATCTGAGTTGCTGACTGAAAGGGCAGATGCAAGGCAGGATGAAGAATAAGTGTGTCTGCTGGCAGTGGTGCAAGGAATCCAAGTGTTAGGAAAGAAGGATATTTGCTTTTGGATTTAGAGGCCAAGACCTAGGCTTTCTCTGTGGGCAGCATGCTCAGCTGCTTTGGAGGGGGCTATGAAAAAATGTTGCCGTTTCCTTCTATTGGGGTGTCAGTGTTGTCATCTATTTGTGCGTGTGAAGGACAACGAAGCTGATGAAGAGTCTAGAGAACAAGTCTTATGAGGAGCAACCGAGAGAACTGAGGCTATTTAGACTGGAGAAAAGGAGGCTGAGGAGAGACCTTATTGCCTTCTATAGCTACCTGAAATGAGGGTGTAGTGAGGTGGGGGTCAGTCACTTCTCTCAAGTAACAAGCGTTGGAAGAAGAGGAAATGGCCTCAAGTTGCACCATAAGAGGTTTGGATTGGATATTAGGAAAAATTTCTTCATGGTAAGAGTTGTCAAGCACTGGAACAGGCTGCCCAGGGAAGTGGTGGAGTCACCATCCCTGGAGGTATTTAAAAGACATGTAGATGTGGTGCTTAGAGATGTGGTTTAAGTGGTGGACTTGGCAGTGCTGGGTTAATGGTTGGACTTGATGATCTGAAAGGTCTTTTCCAACCTAAGCAATTCTAGGATTCTATGATTTCATTCCTGTTTCTTATCAGGTGTTTGGAGGCATTATTCCCTAGTCACCACTTACTGAGTTACTGTCACAGTTTATAGTATCTTCTCCCTGGAGTACGTGGTGCCTGGAAGGTCCAGCAACCTTTGTTAATAAAGCAGAGATGTGATGGGGTGGAATAAAGACAACATTGTTTTGTATGCAAGAAAACATTGCCCTGTCAGATGCTTCCTCAGTTTTCCATCCGTGCTGTCATCCTGGCTTCTTTCCCCAAACCTTCTGGCGCTGTTCCCGTGGCTCCCTCAGGGGAGCAGGATGAGATGTGTGCATGATAGGGAAGTGAGGGGCTGTGAAGATGTGGCCAGCTGGCAGCATCCAGCACAGGGCCCAGCTCAGGCACAGATCTCTAACGGCACAGGGGTGGTTTGCCTGGTTACCTGAGCTAGCAGCTTTATTAACCCTGCAGTAAGTCATTCTGACAGACCCGGTTCCTAGATGGCTGCTGAGATTTTAACTTTTTGTGTCAGGTTTTTAAGCATAGAAAAGGATGGGAAGGAGTTACTCCGTTCAGGCATAAGGCCATATCCCTTGGTTTTGGAAGGGACCTGTAGAGATATTAAAAGTTTTTGACTTGGGAAAAAGCACTTCCAGCCTCTGAGAGGCATGTACCATGTCTCCAGATCTC